TAATATGTGCTTTCTCCAGAATTGGTGGATACAAGCGAAAGAGATGATATTCAAAACAGCTACCATATCTTTGGGAGTGTTGTCTGTCATCTTGGGAGTAGTTCTAACACTATATGTTGTTGCTGTGACGAAGGTTCACAAGGAGGTTACTATCAAGAAATCCAGATATGTTCACAGCACTAAGTGAGGTGTTTACATAGAGGATAATAATAATGCTTACACAGTGGGAATTATATCTGTTTTGACGAAATCCTAAGTGAGCACAGCACCAATGGACTTACATAGTTTTGTTATACTAGCTAACTACGAAAGCATAACTACCTCCTGCATGGCCATTATAGTGTGACTATAAACATGACAGATCAGCAGCTGCTCGTGGTGGTAAGAAGGTGGAGACCCACAGTAACACAGCCTATGGAGTGGTACCAGTACAAAGAGAGGAACCAGAGTACGAAGTGATTCCACTGTCTCAAAGTCCACTGCCTCTGGCCACTGACTGAGAACAGATGATACTGACTTCTAGTTTATTTATTACATGTGCATTCCCATTTTAAAAGCTCGGTGAAAAACACAGCTGTTATTTGTGCAGTAGCATATGTACACCATGATTGGCTTGTCAGAGCATAGCAGGAATGGAAGGCAAGATGCTAGACCACGTAGGATAACTACCTAGCTGGATGATTATTGGATTCCTTTCATGTGGATATATACAGGAGTAAATTTTCTCTTCTCAAAATGTCAGTCAAAAAAATGCATTCATAAATGCAACACCCTGGATAAGCCATTGATGAAAATAAAGTAGCTTCTCAATTAAATTATACTCACCAACAAACAGCTTATAGCTACTGCATGGAAATGGTTGATCTTACAGCAAGAAATGTCGAATGAGCTGTTATTTGGGCAGTAACATAAAGTATTAGACCATGTGATGCCAAGAGAAAAAAGATGTGGAGCTCTGGAGAGCTGTTTCGGGCTTGTTGTCCCTCATCAGCAGAGCATACCGCAACTTCTCTCTCTGGCATCACGAGTTTATAAAGGCTATATACTGCAACTTCTCTCTCTGGCATCACGAGTTTATAAAGGCTATATTATACCAGGAGCGCAGCGCTTGTGGCTCGACTAATGAGATTCATCCCCACAACTGGTATGTGCTGCTGACCATGCCCAGACATTCGTGGTTTGGAACCTAGGCCCCTCCCCACTCCTGCTGGTCAAGGCCAGCACCGAGCCAAAAACCCGAACTCAGAATCCTGACATGTCATTGCATTCTGCAGCGCTAGTGATGTTTAGCCGACAATTTTGTTGGTGTAGTTACTCAGATTCTTTTGAGCCCCCACCATGCAACTGTTAAGTAGCTACAGTTAAAACAGCACCCAGGTTGCTATACTCAATTATCTACAGTATCCAGATAATGGTGCAAAAGTTCTGCCAAACAAGGTATACCCAATGGCAAGGAACTAGGGACAGAAGGAGCAGTGACATCATTTCATATTCATCATCAGAGTATATACAAACAGGTACATAGAGTCTTTTTTGTCAGTGTAAATGTGTGTGTTTCTTCCACTCTTTAATTTAAAGGCACTGTCAGGTATAGACATAGATAAGGTTCATGCTGTTTTACTTAGCTTCATCATCACACGCGCGCACGGCCGGTCGCCCGTGCAAAGGTTCAAAGGTTTTAATGCACTGCAAGCCAAACAAGAATAGGCACGGCATGTTTTACAAAAAATAAAGTTACTTGTAATGTCTAGCATACATGAAAATATCAGAAGTAGCGGACGAAAGAGAGTTGATAATCTGGTCTGGGTCTGAGAGAGGCGTGTGAGAGAGAGTATAGTGATGAAAGTAAGAAACATCCATTGTGGCACCACAGAGATGGCAGATGCCTGGCTGAAACTGTGGCCTGGTCAATTCGCGATAAAGGGCCTGTAGAGAGTCAGTACCACGAGGTCCGTAATCAAGTGTCATGTCCCACAGCTTCATCCAAGATGTATCAGCAGCTATTCCTGATGCAATCGCTGTACTGTTGTGACGGCTGGCCTCGGTGGTGCAGGCCTCCCAGTCTGCCTGTAATACTTCTCGCTTTAATTCTCTTAGAGTTGACTGGGCACTGAGCATGGCATCAAAGGTGGCGCGCATGCGCAAAACTGGGGCGGCGCTGCGCGCTATATAAACTGCAGTATCACTAATTCACGAACTATTTCCACATGATGGTCTGCGTTATGCAGCTCCTGTTGTTAGTCACAGCGATAGAGAGAGGCTTTAGTCAGGATTGTACTCCACCAGAAACTAAAGATCTGAAAGTCCTACTGGAAGATATAATTGGAGGCGGAAACAGTGCAGCAGCACCAAATATAACTTTGGTTGACTTTAAAGTAGTCTGTCGTGCATATGGCAAACAGCAGGATCTCCTAAGAGCCGTCTCGGTGGTTATAGAGTACGTATGCTCAGGTCATGATAACTGTCCTGTAGTGGCCCCTGCACTGGAGCAGATTGACTTTTGAATGTATCCGTGGACAGTGGAGCAATAGTGTGTTAGGGATGACTGCTAATACTCGTTCCACTAACCCTGAAGCTAGTTTCACAACTACTAGCAGAGAAGACTGTGCACAGTGCATAGCTCCTGAGCTGGGCGAAAAATTTTCCTTCATTACTGATAGTATCACTCACTGTAGAGGTCAGTATTATACAAAAGGCATAAAGTAAGCCACTGTCCACTAAAATAATGTATAGAGTAACTGAAATGTTTCTGTGTGTAATGAAGGTTTACAGTGATGCTATGGGGTCCAAACTATACAAAAACTCAATGTGTGTTAAAGGAATGCCCTATAGTCCCTACACTGCTAGCTGTCTAGCTGGACGCAGTTGTTGGGATGGTTTGTGAGCTTCTCTTCCTTCTCTTCTTCTTCTTTCAGTTTGTTTGTGATTACATAACATTTTTGGGAATGTTTTGACGATGTATTAATTATAGTGGGTGACTGTGGACCGCCTGTTGTCCCTGCTAATGGAGATGTGAGAGTGTTTGGAACATCAGTTGCTGTCTATTTCTGTGATGATGGGTACTATCTGGCTGACAGGAGCTATAGAGTGTGTTTGGATAATGGTGCCTGGTCAGGTAGTGTCCCTGCATGCAATAGTAAGCCATAAACATAATTCTGAATGTATGGTTA